ATCTATGTTCATTTTCTACATCACGAGAGTAAAACGCTAAATGTTAATCATATATTGATATTCAAAAAAGTGAGATAACTCCAGAAAAATATTAACAAACCGTATTTAATTAAATTTAACAGGGACAATAATAGTCGATTATCATTATTTATCTCCACTGGCGCTCAATTATAGTAAGTGACATCACAATGTAATTGTAGTAAGAAATAATTTCGTAAAAATATTGGCTAATCAATAGAACCATATATATTAGTAATTAGTCGTTAGTGACTTTAGATATCACTACTAATGGTCAATATTTTATACAAACTAAATATTTTCTACATTTCAAAGCCTTTTTATTTAAATGCACATTGTATTGTTATTAAGAATGGTATCAAACTATATACCTGAATGATATGCAGGTTAATTAAAATTTAACTAATAATAATAATAACTATTATAAAACAGTAGTTTGATAAGGTGATATTTACCGAGTAAAAACTTTGATAGCCTCGACTATGTGATAATTAACCGTCAAGCGTTGAAAAACAACAAATATTTTCATTTAGTTTTATGCTCTCAAGTTACCTCTATATAAAAAATGAGATAAATAAAATTTCAGCTTCTTTTCTGGTTAACAAAAGATGTTTCGATTAGGTAAAAACTTATGTTAAAATTTTGTGAAACTGCGTAAACTGACATATAATGAGTATTATGTAAGTTTCTTATAAAAAAATATTGAGTAAATTCTGGTTTTTGTTAAGAAATAACTAATGAACCGATTGATGTTAGACCACCATTAGAAGCCTGGAAGCACTGGAAAGCCGTTTCGTCCTATTGTGGGACACCTTATCAGTGCTCATCCACGAGCCCACTCGCGGGATTCCAACCCAGGGCCTTCAGTCTCGCTTAACATCTAGACCACTAAGCCGGCACCCAACAGTGTTAATGCCTAACCTCAATCAATCCAAGAAATTATGTGACCATCTTGCATTGTACTAAGGTAGATACCTGTCTCCACAATAATTAGTTATCACCAAAATAAGTAATGAACTTAAAAATACGTTTGGTCAATTTTTGAGGTAAACTAATTTAATCGATGAAATCGTCCCAAAGTGTTACTATGATTAAGTAGATGGTTCAAAAAAATAAGAATATTTATAAAAAATGTCTATCACATAGGAAAGATTATTAAACAGGGTTGACAATCCGCTCTGGGTCATCAATATGGTGCATGATAAAACACAGCCTCAACTTTCGAACATAAGTTTTGGTCGGTATTACAGATATAAGCAGAATTTAAATACTTCAAGCCTAGTATAATATGTTTGATGACTCAAGAAACAAATGTTGTTAATAAAGAAATATTTTTAAATCATTTTAGAATATTCTCTTACTTCAAATGGATAGAAATGTGAAAATATATGGCCATTTTTGAGCCGTGTAGGTAGGTGCGCACTATGTGGTTACGGTCAACGTGATCTACATTGCTCATAACCATTCATTATTTGTCTTTTCTCTGATCTTAAGTTTGTAAATTGGCTTAGTGATTTTCTAAAATTCACTAATCTATTTTTTTTCTAGAATCGGATCTTTTATGCCTAAACCTACATATTGCCAACAATACTATTGCTACTTGTACTTCTCTAGTATCTTGATGTGCTGATATCATGTGGCTCCATGGGCCGATGAACATATGTGTCAGATTCAATGTCGCTTATGGCTGATAGACAATAAATATTACATAGGTCATTCTTTAAAATATAGAATAATTCACTCTTTTATTATAACCGATTGAATAGGAAGTTTCACTGAACGTAATCAAAAATATATTAGGATTTAGTGAAGTGGTGATCACATAATCTGATTTTAAACAAAAATACTAATACAATGATACATTTATCTGATAACTATATTGATTCAATCGCTGAGATTATTTAAAATATAATTTTCACATATAATGATTTCTCTATACTCGGCGCCCACTTTCTGTCAAACTATTTGTTTTAGTCTTGACGAGTATTCGTATAAATGATTAACTGTTTTTTACAAAATAAAGTCAAAAATATAATTAGGAAAGACGATTCAAGAAAATTGAAACTAGATTGTACACTTTTTCATTCTACTTTGACTATCCAATAACTTATGACTCTATTAACATTTATAATTAAATCTATCAGCTTTGGTTAATATACTAATCAAAACCTATATGCATTGCTATACTACTGAAAATATATATGTCAATAAAACTATTTGTTTATAAATGAATTAATCTTTATCTTATCTACTTCATCTTAAATAGACAATGTCACAATAATAATAAAATTTGATTTATACATTTATAGCAATCAGTTAGAATGATCAAATTATGATAAAATATTTCATTAAAATTGAATTAAGAAATTATCAAGTTAGATACATTATACACCATACAATATTTATTTTAAAAATAACTACTGGAAAGAGTAATCGTTATTTAACAACAATCCCATATCTTAATTATTTATGCTTACGTACTTCATCGAAACGAGACTAGACAAAACTTGATGTAAGGAAAGATCGATAGTGGCTAACAGTGGAATCCAGGACGCGTGTTTCGTTCTATTTGGGATTCGTCATCTTAAAAAAGCTTATGAATTAAGGCTATATCGAGGTAATCCGCATAGGATGCACAAATGCCAACATGAGACTGATTAATTGCTGTCCTAAATAACACTGGGAAGGTACAAGTAAAACAACAAGCGAATATAAAACTTGATTTAGTTATGTATAAATTAAAGTATACACAGACAGTTTGAACGAATAGTTAGATTTTTTATAATTGGATTAAATCCAAAGAAAACAAAAAATTGATATCCATACAACATTAATTGGAATACATCAAATTATGTCATCAAAGAATTAAAGAGTAAATTACTATCATGCAAACAACATTTCATACGAATCAAACTATTGCACGAGATATGGAGTATAAATCGCTATTCATATTTGATTGTTGAAAAACAATATTCTTAAGTTCTTATGTTTCTTACCATGTCGAGATATTGCTATACACCAGTGAGAAGTTATTAATTACATCCTAATTTTACGATGTACCTATACGAAATCACTTTATTATTAAAAAAAACTCAGAGTTAGAAACGATTAATTATCATCGTGCTTCTTTCTAAACAAAATGTACTAATAAATAAGCTGTTAAAAATTGTGTAGCTTTTCCATATAACTATTTAGAAGGTTTTCACTTTGTCTAACGACATCAAATAAATAGACCTTTTATATGTATTTAAAGACATCGTTACTCTTGCTTCTAGTATTTGCTTGTAATATATCTGATTTTTATTGATTTCATCAATCGCTTTACCTTGAGTTTGACCTCATAAATTGATTTGTCTTCCTCTAAAGTACTTATCAATGTCATTCAATTCGTATGGTATTGTTTAATATTTGATCAATATATGACTATATTGTTCAGTCCGGTTCTGAATTATCTCGTACAAAAAACGATCTACGTTAATGTCTGACATGCTTATATGATCTATTTATTTTAAATGTAATATGAAAACATATTAAATAAATTGTTTAATTCAATCCAACGGAGCGAAAAGTTACAACGCAATTAATACAAAATATGTAAACCATAATATTTAATGTTCTCCAAATGATAAAGATGAGCACATGAAAAAGTAATCACAGATTGGCAAAATGATTGTTTATTATATCAAGAGATAGATCATATTTATTGGTCCTACATACTGCATGATATGTGAATGCAAATTATATGATAAATGCTACAGAGAGTATGCTAACTCGATTTTTCGATTAATGCAATACCTGAAATAAAAGTACATATTATTACAGAATATATTAAACATGTGATCACTAATTAGTTTACCCAAAAGTCTCAAATATTTTATACTTATACAAAATCAGGAATTATAAGTTTTAGTCAGATTACACAAAAGCAAATTAAACGAGTTACATGTAGAAATATATTTATATATTTATAAACTTGTTCCTTGATCTTTTTAATTCTGTGTTCTAAGTTATGTTCATTAGCTCCCATTATATTCATTCAATAAAAGTGACATCGAAAATGGTAATAATAATTGCTATTACTATGGTCATTCTACTTCGATTATGATATGATAAATTTACCAAATAATTACATATTACCCGATTTAACTAGTCAGATAGTATCTTTAATTTTGTTAAATCAAATAAAACTCAGTCACCAATATATATTTTAGACAATTTTAACGTATTAACTAGTTTTCTAACGTATGAAATTTTCGTAGATCATTATTTGTAAGGGTTTGAGTTATCCCTTTACTCTTACTAAGAATGACATAAACATCCATCTACTTAACAAGTTAGTTTCTATCTGGATTCAGTACTTTAGTAGATAATGCATTTCAGTTTGAAGCGAAACTTACTGACCACAACTCCTAATGTGGATATCGATAGTAAGATTCAGATGAGTTTCAAACAGGGAGAAATACATTCCCAGGATTCTATTGATAGCCACAATCCGTCTGTCCTTTATGATACATTCTTACGTTAAACAATAATTTAAAAAAAGACAAAAAAATATTTGGAATATATTATAAAGTGTTTATTAGCACAGATATGTGTAGTCCAAAATATGTTCTGCATTTAGTATCACAAGTAAGCGAAATCATGTTTATGGAGTTTTAAATGGAATAATTCAAATGAAGATTTTTATTAACAGACTAATAATAGTTGGAGCATTATTGACAAATAACGAAACAACTATTACATTTCTTTTTACAGCTACTTGATAATATTCATCCGATACTCATACTTGGAATGAGGACCTGTTTGCAATGCTCTCTAATCAGTTCATGATAAAGATTTTCTTCATTTTATTTCTTACAAATTTATACTGATCACATATATATCATAACATATTTGAAACAGACGAATAAAACTAATCTCAATCAATTTTGCCGATATCATTATCAGCTATTTAAATTATATAATATAGATTTTTAACTTACTGGCAATGAATAACGGGGATGTCTTCTAGAAGTACTACATTTGCTCTCTTTATAATTTTCCGAAGCATTGGCTACATCATTTTTACAATATTTTTCTCTTGTATTAGATATATGATTTTCATCTTCTGATATGATATTTTCATCATCTGGTAAATTTATTTCCAAATGTTGTGTCGCAAATGATACACGTTGAAGAGACGTACTTCGTGTTTCTCTTCCAATTACCTCGTCTATTTGTTCATTGTCAAATATATCAGAAGGGTGACTAGTTAATTTTTCATCTATATTACTTAAACGTAAATTAAATTGATCAGGTGACTGTGAAGAAGATAGTCTTTCTCTGATAAATGAAATAGGCACTGAATGCTTTCTTGTGTAATTAAGTGAGATTTCCTTAGTATCAGTTGGTTGTGAATGTTTACGTTTAATGAAAGCATATATAAATGACGGACTTCTTATTCGAGATAAATTAAATGGAAATTTCTGTTGACTATCTACTGAATATTTCTTATCATGATCATTATTTCCTTTAACCAATTGATAATCTAAATTATCAGGTTTAGATATAACACCGATTCGACGAACTTTTTTCCTTTCTTTTGATATCATTTCATCTTTCTGTAATACTTCACTTATGCTAGTAGTCACATTTGATTAAATTATTATTAAAAATTGCTATTAAATAATGTAAGTCATGGCTGATTATTAATTTTTATTATTAAAATCCTCTATATCCCCCAAAAACTGTGAATTATATCAATTTACGAATATATGAATACGGTAATCACTAACAAATGACTGACCAATCATTGTTGATTATTACAATTGTCGAATCAAAACCTTCCTTAAATATAACTGGTTAAAAATAATATGTAAATCTGTTATATTCCAAGTTATAATAGTTATGATTTAGTGTAGTATCTTCATTAACTTGTTTACGCTTCATTTTATTTTAAATTTTGGGTCTTTTGTTTTCAGGATACATATCATTATCTAGAAGCTTTTAATTTATCTACCCAGGTATTTTAAACTCCGCTCTGGGATCTCAAAGATATTTATTCAGAAGAATTATGATACCTCATAGGGAAAGTTGATATTCCTCGGAAGTCACGATACCCATACCTATTCTAAGAAACAGAGCAACAATTTTTATAGGTACATGGAATGTCTGGACAATATGAAAGACTGGTGGGAACAATCAAATTGCTACAGAAATGAGGAGATATAAACTGACTGTTCTCGGAATCAGTAAAATACATTGGACCAAAGAAAGACAGAAACGTTTAGATACAGAAGGGATATTGCTATACTCTGGCCACGAAGAGGAAAATGCTCCACACACTCAGGGAGTTGTTTCGATCCTGTCCAAAGAAGCACAAAATGCACTCATACGTTGGACCCAGGATCATTAAAACATCTTTCGAAATAAAGATGGAGGGAATCACAATGAATATTATCCAGCGTTACTCACCCAACAATGGAAGCGATGACGATGATAAAGATCAGTTCTGAGAGAAACAGCAATCTATCATGGCGAATCGTTTAGGAAATGACCTGACCGTAATGATGGGAGATCTAAACGCCAAAGTCGGAATGGACAACACTGGGTATGAAGATATCGTAGGACGACATGGACTGACTGGGAGAAAGGAACGAGAATGGAAAGAGCTTTGCGAATCTATATGCATTCAACAAATTGGTTATAGGCGGCACATACACAAAGCTACATGGGTCTCAACGCATCACACCACGGAGAACCAGATCTACTCGAATAATTGAATACCATGGAGAACAACTGGAAAGGTACCAGAGAAGCACTGACTTCAACGTGTCAGGAGATTTTGGGTCGCACCAAGCATCATCATAAGGAATGGATCTCTGTCGAAACCCTGTTTTACATTCTAGAAAGGAAGGATAAGAAGACAGTAAATAACAACAGTCGAACATGAACAGAGAAAGTGAAGGCACAAACTGAATACACAGAAGCAAATAAGTAATTGAAGATAAGCATTAGAGCTGACAAGCAGAAATACGACGTAGACCTAGCAACGATGGTTGCAACAGAAGGAAATATGAAACAACCATGTGGCACAACGAAGAAACTGACAGGGAAATATAGTAAAGCAGAGAGAGAGGTCAAGGACAATTAAGGCAAGACAATCACTGAGATTCGAGGACAGAGGAAGAGGTAAGTAGAAGACTTTGAGGAACTCTTGAGTAGACCATAGGCACTGAACCAACCGACATTGAAGCAAAACACACAGATCTTCCTACAGATGTCACTCTATTAACGACCAAAACACTAAGATGGAAAGCATCAGGATTTGAAAATATACGAGTTGAAGCACTGAAATCAGACATAGAAGTAACTGCCAACATGCTCCACGTTCTATTCAAAAAGATTTGAGAGGAGAAACAAAAGCCAACAAACTGAAAAGAAGGTTGCCTCATCTACACATCAAAGAAAGGAGATCATCACACATGTGAGAACTACACAGGCATCACAATATTATTAGTACCAGAAAACGTTTTCAACAGAGTGTTGTCGAACCGGATCAAAGATTCAGTAGACGCCTAGCTTCGAGATCAACACACCGGATGCCATAAGGATCGGTCGTGCACAGACCAAATAGCGATATTATTGATCATCGATGAACAGTCAACTGGATGGAACTTGTCACTACATATCATCTTCCTTGACTATGAGAAAGCATTTGTTATTGTGGATAGGAAAACACTATGGAAACTTGTTCAACACTGTGGAGTGAGTAGTTGAGACGATCGTCAATATCATACGGAACTCTTACGATGGACTACAGTGCGAAGTGGTGCATAGAGGATAGCTGACCGGCGCGTTCCAAATGAGGACTACTTACTATCAACCTTCCTCTTTCTCCTTCTGATGGTTGACTGGACCATGAAAATCTCCATACCCGAGGGGAAACATGAAGTACAATAGACAGCTCGGATGCGACTAGACGATTTGCACTTTACAGATGACTTAGCTCTTCAATCTCATACACAGCGACAAATGCAACTGAAAAAGATAAGTGTTGCAGCAAACTCTGCATCAGTAGCCTTCAACGTACACAAAGGAAAAACCAAGATGCTCAAATGCAACACAGAGAACACCAACACAATCACATTCGATGGAGAAGCTATGGAACGGATGGAATCTTTCACTCACCTGGTGCACGTCATCCATGAACAAGGAGGACATGGTGCAGACGTAAAGGCAATGATTTGCGAAGTAAGGGTCACATTCCTACTGTTGAAGAATAAATGGAACTCAAAACAACTGTGTGCAAACCAACATCAAAGTCGCAATTTTCAATACGAACATCAAAACAGCTCTGTTGTAGGCAGCTTGAACTTGGAGATCTACTACAACCATCATCAAAAGGATACAAGTATTTGTAAACAATTGTCTACACGAGAAACCCAATATCCGTTGGGCAGATACCATGAGCAACAATCTACTGTGGGAAAGAACAAATCAGCTTTTAGCTGGACAGGAAATTAGGGGAAGACATTGAAAGTGAATGGCACAAACATTGAGGAAATCACCAAACTGCATCACGAGACAAGCGCTAATTCGGATTCCTGAAGGAAAATGGAAAAGAGGATGACGAGGGAACATACTGCTCCGATAATTGGAAGCAGACAAGAATAGGATGAATAGGAACTAGAAAAACGGGGAAGGATTGGTGGTATGCGGTCTATGCTCCTCCATGAGTGGCAACAGGCGTAAGTAAGTAAGTAATTAACAATACAAACAAAAGTACTCATAACTACAAACTAAATGACTAGTATTAAACTTTTCACTGGTAATTTCAAAGGATAAACAAGATGTTTATTTCTAGTTGTTTGTCTCTTTTTAGGCATCTTTAGTGGATACAAACTGTATTACTTAAATATTGTTACACCTATTTTAAATGAAAGTAACAGCTTGAATTAATTCAATAATACATTGGACTATTCAATGGTTTAACTAAGCAACCAAATCCAAGTAATCGGTCCTAGACGATTTTACACAGACTGAGGTCACATGGAAACCTATTTATAATACTTTTATTCCCACAACAAGGTGCCATAGATCTTAATACAACTGACACAAAAACCAAGAATTTTTATTGTACACATATCACTATCTAATCTTTAGTTCAAAATATAGTGTTAACTACATTCAAAATTCGGTCAATAAGCCAGAGCGGCCATTTTAGCACCTTCGTGATGTCAGTCAGGCTGTAAAAGATTGGATCTACAACGCATCGGTAAGAGCGGTTCTGCTCTGTGTTTGTGAAACCTGGTCTCTCCGAGTTGAGGATATTAAACGACTCTCTCTTTTTGACCATCGTTGTCTCCGAAGGATTGCTAACATCCAGTGGCGACACCATGTTAGTAATGCAGAAGTTCGGCATCGTGTGTTCGGGCACAGAGACGACAATCCAATTAATGTCGCCGTCTTGAAACACCGACTTCGGCGGCTTGGACATGTTCTACAAATGTCATCCCAGAGAATTACATGTTGTGCATTATTTGCCGACTCTGGGACTGGTTGGAAAAAGCGGAGAGGTGGTCAGTGTATGACAGGGTGTCATGGTATGAAAGAAAGCTGGAAAGGGCTAGCTTATGTTAGTTCTTCACGACTGCCTGGCTGGGGTCTGAGGGATGGTTCAACACAGTGAATTAAGACGTCATTAGATACTGCTCAGAACAGAAGCCAGTGGCGATCCTGCTGTAGTCTTCTTTTACTTCCTTTATAAAAAGTGGTTGTAGGTTTTTTAACCGAAAGAACTTTTTCTGGTTGTACCTTTCCTTTTCCCTCATTATTATTGTTATTATTATTGTTATTACACTACCATACCCTAATCTGTGGTTGTTATCGTTCTTTTACTTTTTTTCTTATACGCACCTTAAATTTTTTTCTCTTCCCATTCTCATTGTTTTGTGTGACGCATATATCTGGTGCCCCTTTGTACCAATAATTAAGTGTTCAAATAAATAAATAAATACAATAAACAGTACTTTTAAGTTGTTACCAATTTTATCTGGTTTCATCCGTTAACATCCATCTATAGTTTTGATTTAAAATCCACTTCCTGAAGATGATTATATTTTAGCATTGAACAAAGGTATAATGTCAATAATAATAATTTATTATTATTATTATTACAGAAAGAGCTGTTACTTATTTTCAAACATAGAAATCTAATTTATTATTTAACGTTTGTCAAGTTTCAAACCGTTTCCAGTTCATTTCATTTTATAGTAAAATCAATTTTCCATAATATAAATAAATATTTGAATATTAAAAGAAGTGTAAAATAAATACATACAATAAATGACTTACTATTATCGTGGTTTTTTTCTTTTTTGTTACTAAATTTAGTTTAGTATTATTTTTTTCCTTTTCTGATTATCTCTTAGTAACAATTTGTTCACTCTTCTCATTTACTATATATTAAATTTTCATTTATTTATTCATTATTAAAACAATCAATATTATTAAAATTAAAATTGATTTTCAATGGAAAGATAATTAAATAAATAGATTATTATTATTATTTTAAAAAAAAGGTGGAAATAGGAGACAAAAAAACAACCATTTGATTTTAGAGAATAGTAATAACATTTATGAAAATACTTAGTAGTATGTTGGTCGAATCATTTTTATAGGGTTAAATATTTTATTGCTTGGTATATCATCATTAGATGTATCTTTAAATGAAATAATTTAGTTGTATTAAAAGAAGATAGAATTCATAATTATTATACCACCGATGAGAATAATAAATGATAACTATTTGAATCTATTTCTAAAATAATACTATATGTATATTACTTGTTATATGATTGTTAAGTCATTAAAGTATTCATATTCGTGTTCCTCTCATCATAAGCTTTATTTAGACATATGAACTAGTATTATACGACCTACCATTCTTCAGTTATGCCCAATCTATCAATTACTATATCCTACATTCACGACCACTTTTGGCTAAATCTTGTGCAAATGTTGTTTTCTATTTTACGGTGCGATATGATCTGTTCGGTTTGTGTATAAACCCAGTATGTTTGAAATAAATGATTCATATCACAGAGGCTGAGATTGTTGTTCTAGACTTAACAGGCAGGTTTACACAGGAAGAAAAACCGATAAATACTTTAAACTGCTCGTACGGGTTTTATGCATCATTGGTCCGGTTGATAAATCATTGTTTAATAATATTGTAAGAGTCATACATGAAACGATATATCCTTGATTGAAGGTTTAGACTAGAGATGTTAATACTGAAGTGTCTTATACATAGTATCTTTGAGTATTGTTGGAATACACTAGAAAAATTCTTTATATAGTTTTAAAAAGCTAGGAGAAAGATTTGTACATCATCTCTAATGAAAACAGACTCTAGAAACTTATGGAAAATTGAAGGATTATGTATTAGTCTATGCTCGATGAATCACTTGCGTTGTTATTAATTTTAGCATGCTTCCACAAGTTTTCAAGAATCAAAGGTTACCAATAAATCTATAAATCCTGAATTTTTCTATGCATGAACGAAATTCTAAATAAAGAATCCTATCTTAAGTTGCATCTTTTATTTCTATATTTCTGGGCTCAAAAATACAGGATTTTGTGGGGATCTAGAAAATAGCTAGCAAGTCACTATCAAGTGTTTAGACAGGAAAAATATATTATAGGTATGTTTCATTTTAAAATATATATATATTCCTTATACAAGTGAGTCAACTGACACCGATGTATGATGGAAAAGACGATTTTACGACTGAGACTTTACCCAATCGAAATAAAATAAAATAAACATCCTTTTAAGTAATTCAGTCACATTCAAACTATATTACAATCTGTATCCTTCAAACACTTCAAAGATAAGTTCAAGTAGTAAAATTATGCAATCTTTCTAATGAACTAAAGTAGTATAAACTCCTTATTTAAAGTAAATCCTATTGAACATTCAAACAAATTTTAAAATCAGAACATAGTTTGAAAAATGAACATTTTTTCAAGTGAAATCTTTTCAAGTTGATGTAATATCTTAATTCCACTACAGTCAGACACAAAAATTAGAATTTAAGGCAAATCGACATTGATTCTTGTTACCACACTTTAAATCAGCGTGATGAATGAGAATTGACCAAAGAAAATAAGTTTATTAAAATATCAATGTCTACAAGAGTGAAAAATCAAACATCTGAAACATATTGCAAGAGGAATAAATAAATTAAGTAGTATGAATAATAAACATTTTATGAGAAAGTGAATTCACTTGTATTACTGTTAAAAGTAATGATTCATTTTAACCAATGTAATTAATCATTGAGTGTGATTATTCTGATTGCTTTAATCACGAAGTCTACTGGACACTAAACATAGCTTAGATCAAACTCATTCATGGAATGGTAACATCTTAGGTCTGCCAGCCACTAGAATTTGTTAAACGCACTGCTTTGTCAATTTTCAAGATGTGTTGAGGTGGAAAGTGACTAGATATGTTTAACACAGATCCCACACACTCTAATTGATGGTCATCCTATAATTTACATTTCCGTTCAGATTCACTAGCAGATATTATATGTAATGCTGTTTAATTAATTTAACCAAGGTTTAAAAATTTTTACATAATATAGTATAGTTTTTTTATTGATAGCAATTATCAAAATGAACTATTTAGTTGAAAATTAACTTTTATTTAAGGTAAACACAACGAAGGCAGGGACGATTTATTGAGACAAACACTATCATACAATGCATGCTTTTGCATAAAAGATATTTTTTGTTCATTTATACAAAGTGTATATAATCTTCCCGATTACGTGAAATCATTCAACCAATAAAAGTTAAATAACAGGAGTATTTACAGGGAAATACAGTATGAGGTAAATGAATAAACATTGTACCTCAGTTAAATCATCCTATTATACTTAGTATATTTAAAATAACTAAATTAATTGTCAGATGTATTCGAGCTCTAAAATCATAACAAATGAATCATTATTTGCATAAATTTGACTCCTCATAACATACACCGTTGTATATCAAGTTTACAAACTGTTTCTCACATATGATAAGTTAACTAAATTGATGGAGTTTTAATTTGTTTGGTGTTTATCTAGGCCTAACCAAGTCAATTAACGACATTGATTTATTTAACCTCATCTCAAGGTAGGGCGTATAAATAAATACTTAAACTAGGTGTATTCGTGTCAAATTTGTTTGCTAAATTTCTATATTTTGTATTTTATTTGCATCTAAATATTTGGACACATCGATTTTATTTAATAATTCATGTTTTTTAATACAGGTTAGGTCATAGCTATATATATATATATATATATATATATATATATATATATATGCTCACTAGTTTTAGTTTATGTTATGATTGGTCGTCAGTTGTTATGACTGCGTCACCAATTGTAATATCTGACCATCACTAATCGTTATATCGAAATCGCTTATTACTTACAAATGTAAAACAACGAACCAATACAATTCCCATGACGTAAATTAACGACACTAGGACTGGTACGAATGAAGGTTTATTCAACCGAAAACGCAACAACGATCCTAGTCGAAAATACACTCATTATATATTGACCATACACTTATTTCAATTGTTAGTTAGAAAATCACATAGAGGAAAACTAATTAGAGTTATAGCAAATCACACTATGTAATTCATACTATAGTTCCCATTAATTTAATACAAGAATATCATATCTTGACTTGAAAAAGACATCGCACTCAAATGAATTAATGTTATACCGAATAAAATAATACATTGGAAAACAAAACCGAATACTACACCACGTCATTATCATATTGAGTAAATAAAACTGGAATAGTGTTGAACAAAAATCGCAATGAGTAAAAGAATCTAATTCTGCTTTTGACTCCCATCATATCACTTTATACCCGCTTTTTTACCACAATGTTCAAATCATTTTACAAATGTAATGAGAATCGGATTACATTTTTTATTTGTTATGAAATAAGCTGGTCACATTAGTTGTATTTCTGTATATAAATCTTTTCGTTTTAACACTACTTTCTAGAAGTTATTTAGCCAATGTAACATTTAAATTATTCAATTAAAATATGTAAATAAATGATGAAAGATTGTTGGTTAGCTCACAAGCTAAACTGCGTAGCATGAACATATTTTATTTACTTTCCACCTCTCTCTCTCTCTCTGTGTATGCTAAATTTTTTATTTATTGTCACTGTTTTTGAGTGCATATATGTGGTTTATTGCATTGTACTACTGTCCAAAAATGTCTTCCTTGAAATACTAAGTCGCAACTTAAGTATGACTATTTTTGTCACACACTGATCTATAATGACTATATATACATATATTTATGTGCATGCATAAACATAGATATCTTTAAAACAGCCTGCTTGAATATCTGGATACTTGTTCCTGCCATTTAGATACTTCAATGAGTTATCTGTTTTTATTTGTTTTAACACACCATCATGCCTATTATTCATGTAACCGATTCAGGAACATTTATGAAAAGTTTACGACCTTTCGCTGTACAAGTTACAAAAAAGTAGAACATCATTCAAATGTTGATTCTTGAACTGCTAACATCTAACTTGTGATCACTCAATATTTATCGTTAAGATTGATCAAGAAATGAGAAAAGGGAGCTTGTTGAAATACTTTGTACTGAGAACTCTGTATTGTACCAAAAATATAATATTGAATAAAGCCGTTAATAATAATGATAATAATAATAAGAAAATCACATAAATTGTCTTGTTTCCCAAAGGTCAACATTGCCGACCGGGAATTAAAAATCCCCCTCATGTCTCAAACTGCACACAAGATTTCTTACATTTCCGAAGGCAATTTAGACTATAAATGAAAATAAGCCGAAGCACTACAAAAATGACTAAAGTTTAATACATTTTATTATATATTTAGTACTTCTCGAGCATATACAATACATAACGTATTTAATTTAAATCAAAGTAGCAATGAACGTTATCACCTTAAAGTATGTAAACCATGGTTACACATATAACTAAATTAATCTAATCAGCAGCATCTTAATCTGGGTGGAATATTAATTTTCATATTTATCAAATACTTAACTAGAACTATGATAAGAATTGAAAACCGTAGTGTTTGTGAAAAAAAACAGAACTATTAGCCGACAGTTTATTGATCTTTTGAACAATTACTAGTTAAATGAATGCGTATACCAAACTTGGATTTTCAAATTTTAAGATGTTATGGGCCTAGAAAAATATTATATCAGCTTTGAAATGATTAAAACCTGGATAATCTACTGGAAGATCTACAGTTTCTACTGTTCAATAAATTGCTTAACCCAAACTAGAATACATTTCGACTATCATCATTGTAACAACAATATTAGGCTTTTGACATGATTTATTATACGAAAGATAAGGAAGAAATTGACATTACACTAGAATTAACAGACAAGGAACAAAAACTCAGCATAAACTCAAGTATAAATTTAGTAATACATTTTTGACAAACTATATAATTTTTAAAGATATAGTTTAAAAGTTTATTCTGTTATTGTTGTCCGGTGATTTAATCACGAGTCTCCCATAGTTTATCTTGTCAATATCATAGTAACATATAGTATGAAGTTGTACTTTAAAACATTTTCTCTCAACGAAATAGACTACTATGAGTACAGAATAGTAGTTAAACATCATCTTTAGTATTAGACAAGTATTATGAACATAAAGTAGCTGTTTAACGATTATTTCAGATTGATCATATCAATAGAATTAATCGGAATGGAATGTTTGAATTTTATGAACTTGACTATTTTATGCAAGAGGTGTAATGTAACAGGAGCTTCAGTTGATTATTTCTTACTTTCTTTTTGTTACAATTATGTAGCCGAAATTCCATAAAAAAACTCTCAAACAGAAAAGCATGGAATATTGTATAAACTAAATAAATACTATTTTTTTATCTACCATGGTGAACCAACTCACGCCCTAACAGAAAACATAAATATTCTATTTAGTTGCGAATTCTGGAACTAATGTGTATTTATGTGTTGAATTATGTCTTGTAAACATTATTCTAAACAATAAGTAGTATAATTTGTTAGAAAGATAATTTTTTGCGTATGATTACGCAACTAGGAGATACGTAATTTTTTTAGAAAAAGAGTAAACCACTTTGAGATTTATTCGTCTTCTGATGTAAGAATCAAAAGTTTACTTATACTAATAATAATTAGGACTGCTGTTAAGAATAAGTAGATTTACGTATTTGTATGTATACGGTCACCATATGTTCCATAATTATTTAAACATAAAAAAATGGTAGTAAATCATTCAGGCTACATTATTTTGTGGTACATACGTATTTAATTATAAAACACGAACATTTTAAAATTACTGTTGTATTCGTCATTTTTATTTTAAAAGGCAGTTTTCATCACTGATTAACATAAGCTAAACAAATTAATCAAAAGTAAAAAAGTACTATATAACTTTTTTTCATGCCTTTTCGCAACTACTCAAGATGACACTCACGCGATCCAAAAGAGAAAAAAGTCCAATAATTATCAAGTTTCGCGATGTGACTTTTA